CACACAATGGCCCGCCCAGCTCTATGCTGCCAGCATGCCCCTTCCCCTCGGGGGTGGGCCCATGCCGCGCCACACATCCCCCCCCACACACACCAGAACCCCCCCAATCCCCTATGACCAGAGCCTCCCACTATGCCCAGCACCCCACCCCCAACCCATCCCACCCACAAATGCACAGCGCCCTGTACACCACCACCCCTGCCCACAGCCCCACCACAACTGCCCAGCACCCCACACAGAAAGTGCCCCAACACACACACAGATCTTCCCCACCCCCTCACAGCCCAGCACCCCCCACCCAGCCCTCCAGAGAGAGACTCCCCGACGCCCTGCCTCCTGGCCGCACTCACCAGCCCTGCTGCGAGGCAACTGTATCTGCCGGGCTGAGCCGGCAGCGCAGCCAGAGCTGGTCCCAGGGTGGGGAATCGCTCCAGTCCCTCGGGAGTGGCACAATCAGCCAGGCCAGGGCCTGCCCCAGCCGGGCTCCCTCAGGACCCACTTGCCTGGAGGAGCCCAGCCAAGCCCACCCCCCAACTGGCCGAGACTGGCCAGGCTTCTGCACCAGTCCCAGCCGGCTCAGCTCCGGGGAGACAGGTGGGGCCCCACAGGTGGTGGGAAGCAGAGACTGCCTGGAGCCGGAGGTGCTCTGGGGTCTGACCAGGGGGGCAGAGAGATAGTGGGGGCAGGGGGTGGAGAAGAGCCCTCAGCTGGCTGGTGGGCAGGTTGAGAGGAGCAAGGGGGTGGGGGGGAGCCAGCGAGCTGGCAGGGTCTCGGGGCGCAGTGCAAGCAGAGAAGGCCGAGCATGGCCCGGCTCCATGGCGCTACTGGCGTCATTGTAAACCCGGCACTGTAAAGGGGTCTTAAAGTAGGTGGAAATGCCCCCTGAGAATGCCCTCGGTATAGATGACTTCCCTGGCCTAACGTACACCAGGCCCCAGGCAGTGCCCTGCACAGCTCAAGTATCGACCCATGGCCTGGCCGCGGCTGGCTCAAATCAGCTGACTCAGGCTGTGGGGCTAAAAATTGCTGTGTAAATGCCAGGGCTCGGGCTGGAGCCCTAGTTCTGGGACCCTCCACCCTCGCCGGGTCCCAGAGCTCAGGCTCTAGCCTGGGCATCTACACACAGATTTTTTTTTTCACCCCCCCTAACCTGAGCCCCGCGACTCCTGCGAGCCTGACTCAGCTGAGCCGGGCCAGCCGTGGGTATTTTATCCCAGTGTAGACATAGCTAAAGCAATCTTTGCCCTTTGCTGTCCCTGCCCCAAGGGCTGGAGCAGAGTAACTGAGAATTAGGCGGTGGTGTAGCCAGGTGTATCACCGTGGCTTGGCCGGCGATGTGCATGAACAGCTAACGCTTAGGAAACTTGCCGCTTCCTAAGTTGTTAATTCCTGGGTGCAGGCTGTTTCTGAGGCTTTTTGATGGTCTCCTAGGGGCTGCTGGAGACTGGAGTGGGAAGTCCGAGAGGCTTTGCAGCAGTGGGGCGAATGCCTGCAGTGAGTCTTCCCCCCCTCCCCCTCCACACTACCTCACCTCTGGCCTGGGATCCTCATTTATCTAAACTCCACCTCATGGAGTCCCCAGAGCCATCCAGTCCCTTGGCTGAGTGGGAACCTCTTGAGTTGGTAAGGCCTACCCTCCCCACACCAATCTTGACCGTGCACTCTGCCGTTTTGTGTGTGTGTTTATGTGAGTGTATATATATATATATATATATATATACACACACACACTCCTCCTCCTGTCATTGTTGCATTGTGTGTTTCTCCAGTGGGTGGAATGGGAAAATCCTTCTCATCTGTTTGAAACTGTGATTTATTGCTGATTTATAGCAGCATTATATTGGATTTTCCATGCCTATGTCCGGGAATTAATTATGTGAGATGGGAAGCTATTTCCCGCCTTGTTCTGAGAAGACTCCCATGACATTTACACAGGTTTATTGCTTAGGGTAACTTTTATGCCAATGAACTGGTGGGGGTAGGGGTGGGTGGTGAGTGTGTGTGTGTGTGTATTCACATCACTGCCTCATATTGGAGAGGATTTGAACTGCAGACCTTTGTTTTATGCTCCCTATACTGTACTGTAAAGTGCTAATGAAGATTTTCCTTTAGCTCAAGTGATGGGGCCTGTGCTTTTTAGAGTAGGGGAGTCTGAGTTCTATCCCTGACGTGACTGTGACATCCATGTGCTGCTAAGTGGCATCCCATTTATCAAATGAGAATCTCAAACGAATTGACTGTCGCTTACTCCTCCTAACCACCCATCTGAAGTAGGTAAGAATTATTAGACCCAATTTACAGATGGGGAAATGGAGGCACAGAGATTAAGTGAATTGCCAAAGGTCACCTAGTGAGTAGCAGATTGAGGACTGGAACCCAGGAGTCCTGGCTTCCCGTCCCCTCCTCTAACTTCTAGAGCATTTTGCCTTTTGTGGAGGCAGGGGCGCTGGAACAATGTGTATAGTGGGGGTGCTGAGAACCATTGAACCAAACCGTAAACCCTGTATATGATGGAAACCACTTCAAGCCAGGGAGTGAGGCAGCCCCCCTAGTCTCAGCACAGGTGTGGAGGTAGTTACAGATTCCCAGGAAGGAGGTCACCTTTGCTGACATATTGCGTGTGGTATCCTCTCTCTGAATGGGACTGGGTACCTCGACCTGGTTTTATTTGTAAAGGTTGGGAACACTTGAATAATGAGGATTGGGATTAACAGTTGATATAAACTCTCCACCTTCTGTCAAGAGGCCAGAGGGTCCTCAGAGAGCAGGATGTCGTGAGGATTGGGAATGACCTTTTCTAGAGCGGGCCGTTGCTTCCCTTAGCCTCTTCTCATGCCACTTTACTCTGAGGGCCGGTTTGCATACTGATTTAGCTAAATCTATGCAGCCAGGGCCGGCGCAACCCATTAGGCGACCTAGGCGGTCGCCTAGGGCACTACAATTTTGGGGGCAGCGACCGTGGCGGTATTTCGGTGGCGGGACCTTCCGCCGCCTCTGTGGGGGGCAGCATTTCGGGGCAGGACCTTCCGCCGCCTAGGGCGGCAGAAAAGCTGGCGGCACTCCTGTATGCAGCGCTCTGCTGTGGACACTCCTATTTTGGATGAAGAGTGACCTGTTTTGATTGTTTACAGCACAGATTTAAACAAAAAATAGTGTTCTGAAAAGTGCCACGAGATCTCTCTGTTTTTACATCTCAGCAATGTGTAGGGGACATTGCTCGGTCTTGCTCTGCTAACACCCAGCTGGGGCATTAGGTTCAGGAAAGGAGGGGGGAGGGCGGGGCCAGGAAGCTAAAGAAAAATACATTCCCTTCATCCTGAGAAAAGTCCTGACATCAGCTGAACCCCAGGGGAGGAATATCTGTGACCTTTGGAAAGCGGTCAAGTCATTTGTGGCAATGAACAAGACTCACGTGTATTTTTTTTGGCAGGCACATTTGGAAAGGAAGGTGAGAGGCACCCAGTTTGAATGCTTGCTGCAAGCCATTCATGCTTTTGCTCCACCCTGGAGAAGAGCTGTGAGCTAGTGAAAGGCAGGAAAAGGAGTACTATGTACACAATGGGAACTGTGTGTGTAGAGCAGGGGTGAGCAAACTTTTTGGCCCGAGAGCCACATCTGGGAATAGAAATTGTATGGTGGGTGAAATTGGGGTTGGGGTGCAGGAGGGGGTGTGGGCAGAAATGAGGAGTTCAGGATGCAGGAGGGGGCTCTGGGTTGGGGTGGGGGGGAGGAGGAGGGCTCATTTGGGGTGTAGGAGGGTGCTCCAGGCTGGGACCAAGAGGTTCGGAGGGTGGGAGGGGAATCAGGGCTGGGGCAGAGGGTTGGGGCACGGGAGGGGGTGAGGACTCTGGCTGGGGGTGTGGGCTCTGGGGTGGGGCCAGAAATGAGGAGTTCAGGGTGTGGGAGGGGGCTCCGGGCTGGGGCAGGGGGTTGGGGTGCGGGAGAGGGATCAGGGTGGGGGCAGGGGGTTGGGGCATGGGAGGGGGTCGGGGTGCAGGCTCTGGGTGGCACTTACCTCAAGCAGCTCCTGGAAGCAGCGGCATGTCCCCCCCTCCGGCTCCTATGCAGAGGTGAGGCCAGGCGGCTCTGCGCTCTGCCCTGTCTGCAGGCGCCGCCCTTGCAGCTCCCACTGGCCACGGTTCCTGGCCAATGGGAGCTGCAGGGGTGGCGCGTGGAGCCCCCTGGCTGCCCCTAAACGTAGGAGCCGGAGGGGGGACATGCTGCTGCTTCCGGGAGCCTCGGCACATGTGCGCGGCCTCGGACCCCACTCCCCGGCCGGAGCAGGGCAAGCCTCAGACCTCACTCCCTAGCAGGAGCTCGAGGGCCGGATTAAACAGCCTGGAGGCTGGATGTGGCCCGTGGGCCGTAGTTTGCCCATCCTGGTATAGAGAGAAAATCTATAGCACTACATCTACACCTGTAAACCTATGACTACCTGAAACTGACACCACCTTTAGTGTCCAAAGTGAGACTAAAGGGAGACTCTGCTCTCTCCTGGCCTAGCTTCTGAAGAAGTTCCCGATAGGAGATGAAGCCTTTTATTTTTCCCTCTTTTTGTAGGTTGAAGTTTGCAGCACAAGAAAGTTACCGCTGTTCACTTTGTGCCCCAGCCAGCCACTATCCCAGGTGGAGCCAGAAGAAAGTGCGGGGCAGGGGGACAATGTATGGTATGTGTGGGGGGGGGGGTGTTGCGGAGGGGGTGTGTGTGCTGGGGACTTTGTGTTCCTGGCCTGCGTGTATCACAAAGACCAGGCCCGAGTCTCTTGCCGTGCGGGGAGCTGGGGGGGACCCTGGGAGCTGCAGCCAAGGGGGGCGCTTAGCAGAGTGTCTGTTTCTCATTAGACAAGCCCCACGCCAAGCCCTAGAGCCGAACAAGGCCACGGCCCGCTGCCTACAAGCCCCAGGATGCAGCGGGGCCCCAGCTGGCGGCGACGAGGTGGGGCGGGGGGAGGCCGGGCTGTATAAGAGGCCGGGCAGAGGCAGCGAGGCTGCCAGGCAGAGGGCAGCGCGCCGCGGGGATGGAGACGGGCGCCCCCCGCAAGCCCTGCTGCCGGCGTGCGCTCACGGGACCCCTTGGGGAGCGTTTCTTCCTCCTCCTCCTCCTCCTGCTGCTGCTGCTCCCCGGCCCCGCGGCCGCCTCCGAGGCACCAGGTAAGGGAGAGCGGGGCGGTCGCAAGGGCAGATCCCCGAGGGGCCCGGGCCACGCCGGGGGGATGTTCCCAGAGGGGCCCCCTGGGTCTGGCTGGGGGGAGGAGGTGGGTGCACATGGGGTGCAGGCTCCCGGGTCTGGCTGGCGGGGTGGGTGCACATGGGGTGTAGCCCCCCGGGTGTGGATGGGGGGTGGGTGCACATGGGGTGCAGGCTCCCGGGTCTGGCTGGGGAGAAGGGGGCGGGTGCACATGGGGTGCAGCTCCCTGGGTCTGGCTGGCGGGGAGGGAGGTGGGTGCACATGGGGTCTGGCTGGGGGGAGGGGGGTGGGTGCACATGGGGTGCAGCCCCCTGGGTGTGGCTGGGAGGAGGGGGGATGGGGGTGGGGGTGGGAGCCCTCCCGGGTCTGGTTGGCGGGGAGGTGGGTGCACATGGGTGCGCCTGGCAGCGCGCTGGGACTTTGAATGGAGCCGGCAGACAGCCGGACAGGAGCGCGGGCCGAGGGGGCTGTGGCTGGCGATGTGAGCGGAGCTGGGGGTATCGTCCTCCTGCCCTAGTGGAGAGGCTCCTGCTTTGCGGCCCCCGGCCAGGCAGGCTCCGCTCCATGCCTCTATATGGTCGTGCTGGGGGATCAGGAGGTGGCTTGCTGCTCGCAGCCAACTTCTCTCTGCCCTGGGCTGGGCTAGCAAGCCCTCGCCCTGCAGACATCGGCTCCGGGGGCACATCCATAGGGTGCCCCTGTCGGACATCGCAACCAGTGGCCCCTTGTGCCTCTACAGGGTCCCCACCCGAGTGGGGTGGAGAGGCTCCCAGCCTGCACTCAATCCGCAGCTACCCCAGCCACCACTCCCAGGGGCCGGAGCTAGGTTTCCTTGTGCACCCTCTTTAAGATGAAAACCAGCTTTTTGAAAGGACAGGAACATTTTCTGGGAAAGTTTTTTTTTTTTAAATCTTTGATGTTTTCTGCTATTGACTAAACCGAAATGTTCGGTTTGGTCTCCGTTTCTGGCGTGTGCGGGGTGGGTTCCCTCCAGAAAAATGAAATGAAAATTTTCTGCTTGAAATGTTACGAAAACAATTCTGTATCCTTTGGATTTTTCTTTTTCTTTCTGAAAACACACTGCATGGTGTTGAGCAGCCGTGTGTTAAAAGGCCCCTCAGAGCTGGGTGAATGGGGGGCGGGGGAGGATCCTGGGTTGGCAGAAATAATTGATCAAGTTTGGGGGCAGGCGGGAGCTGTGAACGGGGACCGGAAAGCTTACTTCGAGCGGGACAGGGACTGCCTTTAAGTGTTTGTACAGCACCTTGCAGTGGGCCCTGTTCTGTGACTGGAGATTCTAGGCGCTACCCCAATGCAAATACATAATGACAGCTATATCAACTGCAGGAAAGGGGTGCTTCTGGAGAGCATGTTTGCGGGGGGGGGGGGGGGGTTGTATGTAATTCCCTGAAAAACAGGGAGATGGATTGGAAAAAAAGTCCCATTGTAATTTATTTGATTTAGATTTTAACAGGGTACCATGTCAGGGTCTAAGCCCCTCCCATTCACTGCAAGGACAGTTTTCAGCACAGCTAGGATCTTAGCATAATAATGAACAGCCATTATGATATGACCACAGGCCTCCCCCAAATAATCATTATAAACAACTCCCCGTGTCCCATCCTATCTCCAAACACCCCTGGAGAAAGGTGGGCTTTGCAGCGTATCCAGCAAGGTTAGGACCCCTGCTCAGTTGAATGGATGGAAAGGCCCTGATCCTCAAAGGTAATCCATTTGAAATCAATCAATTATCCTTGAGGATCTGGGCCTCACAGCCTGTCTGTAGGTTCCTGGAAGCTTCCCTAAACAGCTGGAGGTTTCAAACTTGGGTATTGAACTTGTCCTTTCTTTACATGGTTGTTTGGCCTTTTCAGTGTAAAGATTATTTCTGCCTCCATCAAAAATCTGAAGCCACAGATTGCCCCCAGCCGTGTCAGGAATCCGGATTCTCTGAGCAAGAGTAGGAGCAGTATAGCAACAGTTAGTTCTGCTTTTCCCCTTCCTTCCCTTTCTGGGTATCCTGTAATGAGGCCTTAGAAAACCACAAAGGGAAATGATTCCTAGGGGTTGGGATGCTGGCCTATAGTTCTAATCCAAGCTCTGGCAGCTTTGAGGGTAAATCACTTCACTGCTCTGTGCCTCAGTTTCCCTGCCTGGGAAATAGTCATTTACCTCCAGGGCATTGAGGCTTAATTAGTGTTTTGTAAAAACGTTGAGATCCTCCCACGAAAGCTGCTCATAAATTTGCTCTTCATGCAGTCTATTAAGCTACCGTTTGAGAAAATAAAATCAATCTCAGACCCACCCAGTGTCATATTCATGTTACAGAACAAGACTTCAGGGCTCTTCGGTCTAAGGCCTGGCTTACGCTTAAAAGTTCGGTCGACATAGGTACGGCATTTGCGGGGGTGAAAAATTCATACCCCCGAGTGCCGTAGCCATTCTGATCTAAACCCAGTGGCAACCTGGCTAGATTGATGGAATAATGCATCCATCAACCCAGCTACCATTGCTCGGGGGCAGGGGTGTGTGTGTGTATTACCTACAGCGACAGGAAAACCCCCTTCTGTTGCTGTAGAAAGCATCTGTACTATGGCACTACCATGGTATAGGTAGGGCACCATCGCTGTGCCGTTGTAATGCCTGTAGTATAGGCATGGCCTAAGAGACAAAGATCGAACAAGATCCATTGGCTGGAAGCTGAAGCTAGACCAATTCAGACTGGAAATAAGGTGCAAATTTTTAACAGTGGGGATAACTAACCATCAGAACAATTGACCAAGGGTCACCATCGCTGGCAATCAAGATCCGATGTTTTCTGTAAAAGATCTGCTCTAGTTAAAACAGGAATTAACTCGGGGAAGTTCTGTGGCCTGTGCGATGGGGGAGGGCAGACAAGATGGCCTAACAAGCTGTAAAAAGAACAGGAGTACTTGTGGCACCTTAGAGACTAAAAAATTTATTAGAGCATAAGCTTTCGTGGGCTACAGCCCACTTCTTCGGATGCATATAGAGTGAAACATATATTGAGGAGATATATATACACACATACAGAGAGCATGAACAGGTGGGAGTTGTCTTACCAACTCTGAGAGGCCAATTAAGTAAGAGAAAAAAAACTTTTGAAGTGATAATCAAGATAGCTCAGTACAGACAGTTTGATAAGAAGTGTGAGAATACTTACAAGGGGAGATAGATTCAATGTTTGTAGTGGCTCAGCCATTCCCAGTCCTTATTCAATCCTGAGTTGATTGTTCCTTATTCAATCCTGAGTTGATTGTATATGTTTCACTCTATATGCATCCGAAGAAGTGGGCTGTAGCCCACGAAAGCTTATGCTCTAATAAATTTGTTAGTCTCTAAGGTGCCACAAGTACTCCTGTTCTTTTTGCGGATACAGACGAACACGGCTGCTACTCTGAAACCTAACAAGCTGTGAATCTGTGTGACATTGACACAGCTACGCTTTTGATACTCTTGTTATTGTAGCCTTGGTTTTAATGTGCATGTGGTTTCTGACCAAATCTTTAGCTGGTTTTAGACCAAACCCTGGTTTTCAGAAACTCCACCCTTCACATCTCCCTCAGCCCAGTCTGCTTTCAGCTATTCGCACCGAGGAACTGAAACAAGCCGGTGGGACCCTGAATTAAGGAGGCCCTGCTGTTCTGATCCTAAACCCTCCCCTTTGGGCTGTGACTAAATCCAAACTTTGACTGAAAATGCGTTGGTTTGTACAGCGTCCCTGTCGCTTGAGGTTTTGGAAGATCTTGTGCTGTTTTGCAAGTTTCCCGTCTTTCTTCAGCAATAACAGATTTGTTTGTTTATAAAATTGAGTCATCAGTCACTGTTGGTTATTCTGCAGTCAAACGCAGTGGAATTGTTATGAAAACTCGGGGGACTCGCGTGTCTCGAATCGGGTAGGGGAGCTACACGCATTGCCTTGTCTTGGGGAGTTGGGAAGGGTCAGAGGAAGTGATGATGGGTGGCAGGTCCTTTCACCGCTAGACTGCAGGCTCAAATACAGGTTGGAGATCAGTGAAAGTTGTTACTTGCGGCTGTTTGGTGACCTGTGTGAAATGAAGTGGAGAGACTCACTCCGTGGGTCAAATTCCTTGCTGGTGTATAGAGGCCAAGGATTGAACTGGGTCATGGTGAATGAGCTCCACTCTGGATGTGGCCCCAGAATAGGGCTACAGCAAAGTGATGCAGTGGGGTCAGTGCCGTGCCTGCTGGGTGATTTAACTAGAGCTTTGTGGTCTCCAGTCGGGCAGTCTGGCATCTTTCGCCAGCAATGCGTTTGTATTCAGGGTGCAGACGTTGTGCTGGCAATAGGCACAAGTTGTGAGTTTGGATCTGGACCAGCGCTCCACCAGATTATTATAGTGTACTGATTCTTACATTCCTGTAGCGCTTTTCGGGGCGGGGGGGCTCTGCCCGAGAGGAAGGATGGGCCAGTGGCTAGAATGGTCTCTTGGGAATTGCAGGACCTGCGTTCAATCCCCCTTTTTCACCATACATTTCCCATGTGACCTCAGGCAAGTCACTTTAGTCTCTATGTGCCTCAGTTCCTGTAATCTATAGAACGGCACTTCCCTATTTCACGGGGAGAATAAATGCACACATTCATAAGTCCCCAGGCCAGAAGGGACCACTGTGATAATTTAATGTGACCTCCCGAATAATACCTGCGAGAGACCTTGCCAAAGTAATTCCGGTTTGAAGCAGAGCAGATCTTTTAGAAAAACACCCAGTCTTGATTTTAAAATTGCCGGGGATGGAGAAACCACCAGGACCCATTAAATATTGCGAGCCACTCAGTCGTTATGGCCTGTGTTGTCACATAAGTGCCTGAAATAGATGGGAAAGTTCTCAAAGGGCTTGGCCAGCCTGGATTCCTCAGCCGCATTCTGCCAGTGCAGTCGGAGGGGAGTCCAACCGTCAGCACGTCAACGAGAAATGTTCCGATCTCTCGATTTTGTTCTCTTGCGAGGCGGGGAGAACCCCTGCCCGTGTTCTCTGCACCTGTTCACCTTGACATTCTCGCTTGCAGGGCTGCCACTGCACGGAGAACTGGTCACCCCTCACTGGCTTCTGAGAGGACGCAGCAGGCGAGCTGTCAGCGTGGCCGAAAAGGTGGGTGAGATTGAAAGCATGCATGTTTCTTGGTTCCCCCTCCAGCCATACCCTGAGTGGTCTGGGACATAAAGGGTTAAGCCAGGGCTTGAGCAACATGCTCTTGTATTGCGAGTGGGAAGCTCTCCTTACCCAGTGTCCATGTATGGGGCTAAGAAGTCAATATCTGCACAATCTGAGCTGTGAGATATTTTTTTGAAGAGCTCTTTTGGCCCTGTAGGTTGCTGAAATAACCTTCTCCCCACAGTGCAGTGTAAGGCTGTCCCCCTGCCCCTACAGGCCGGCAGCCCCAGTGCCTCTGCTGCTGCTCAGAGTTTTGGCCAAGGCCAGTTGTTATTTAGGGTGTGAATTTCCTGCTGGCAATAGGTACCAGCTGTGAGTTTGGATCTGGAACAGAACTCCACCAGCTTATTAGGTCAGTTTGCGCAGCTGCTGTTCGGCCAGGAAACTGACTCGATTTCTGTATGGTTCACGCTGCTGCTGCTCCTTGTGGAAAAGGGCTACTCTGAGGAGAAGGGCACCTCAAACACGAGAGGCTGGGTAAGGGGCAGAGTAGCAGACTCCTGGCTGTCCGGGGATTCTGCAATGGCAGGGGGAAAAGACTTCTTTCCTGTTCCAGCAGGCAAGTGGCAATGAAGATCTGGCTCTCATGCAGTTGGCTCTCTGGTGAGAAAACCCCCGGAAAGCCTCCGTTGTCTCAGCAAGATTGTTTCTGTCATGTTACTAGAATCTTTGTGGCTAAGCTGTCCGCTGCTCCTGCAATACAAGGAGCAGTTGTGAGGAGGAGGCCTTGAGTTTCAGACGAGGCCTTGAGTTTCAGACGGATGTGCACGTAGCCTGGAGGGGCTGGGTGAGGCCGCCACTGTGTAAATAGCCTCCTTAATATAGGGCCTTTCATCCCGAAGGATCCCAAAGCACTAGAGACCCTTTGTGCGGGGAGCAGTGAAATGCACGTAGGATCTGTTCTGTAGTGGCTACGTGGTGGTCTGTAGGTGGGAAGTGGGAGAGGACATCTTTGAATGCAACCCCAGGCGGACTCAGGAGGATGGAATGTAACTTTTGATTGAAGTTCGGCCAGGACACTGGGGGAGACCCTTAAAGACCACGATGGTTCAGGAGACCTTGGAGAGATGGACAGTGCCGAGCAGTGCCTGGGGCAGCCCCACCTGGCTGGCCTGTGCTGCTTTGCATGGTGGGTGCAGCCTTCATTTGCAAGGCCGCCTTTGCAGTCACCAGTGTTTTCCCTTTTTTTTTTTTTTTTTCTCAAACGTGTTTTGTGTGATGTTGCTCTGTGACCTTCCCTGGTTCTGCCCGGGCCTGGCACGGATCCCAGAGCTCGGGTGCTGGTACTCGTCTCGAACAGCTGGCCTCTCAGCCGCTTGGTACAGGCGAGTCTCAACTTACGCTCATTTAACATGTGCAAATTCAGCTTTGTGCGGTCGGCAAAAACAAAAAAGAGAAAAATAACAATTTAAATACTGTACTTGCAGTGCGGGCGATTCCGCCCGCCATTACACTCAATGTAATTTTGACTATACGCAATTTTCGCTTTACGCGCTGACAGCGGAACGTAACCCCAGCGTAAGATGACTCGCCTGTATGCTCTTGTGCTCACCATCTTGGTTCATCTCCTGCCCCAGCTCCCAGGTACAGGGGTCAATTGTCTCATGTCCCCTCCACGTGCCTCAGTTTCCCCCTTCAGTAAAATGGGGGCAACGTTACCAACTCCTCACCTCCCTGGCGAGGCTGTGAGGCCTCATTGATGTCTTGTAAAGCGCTCTGAGGCCTTGGGGTAATAGCCCCCGGGTGGAACATTGAGGTTGTTAGTGGCCAATGAATGATTGAATTCCATGGTGAGACGTCTTCATCCAGCAGCTGCGTCCCTCGGCCGGCTCCTCTCCCTGCCCGTAGCAAGAGGGATCAGCACCAGGCGTCCTCCCACCTTAGCCCGCGGGGTTGCTATGCCTCCCATGGTCCGTTCATAGGAAGGGATTGCTCCATTCCCAGTGAATTACAGCAGCGAGGGGGAGAGGGCCCAGGTCTATATATAGGCCAGAGGGCAGTCAAGGCGGGGAATGCGGGATAGCCAGGAAGTTTATTTATATTGCTGCTTACATCCCTCTGCCTGGAATCCACTCAGAAGATGCTGGGACTGGGGGAAGATCACTGGGAGAGACTGTGTGTGTGCGCGCGCTGGGGCCCTGGCTTTGCACGGGCCATTGGAGGCAATGTTAAAACATCACTTACCAGCGGGATTACAAGGAGGGAGGGGCGAGACCCCTGTTCATTTCCTGGCATCTGTTCTGCCTCAAGTGACTCCAGGCAGAGCAAGACAAGAAGGCGGCTGTCCTGGCGGGGAGGGAGTGCTGCCTGAGAGCAGGAAGAGTGTGTGTAGGCAGGGGGGTGGATTGTGGGAACCAGACTGGGGTTGGGGGAGGGCAGATCTGCATTCTCGGCGATCTCAGGGGATCAGAATTTCCAGGCACTAGCTCTAAAGTGGACATCAGTACTGTGCCCCTCACCGTGGGATCTTGGCGCTGAATGACAGTTGTTTCGAGGCAACCCCCTGCTTACACCAAGGACAGGGCTCTGCATATCCTGTCTTATTTCCCCCTCGCCCCCACATCAAACAGCCTGCTTAGACTCAACGAGGCCACGTGAATGGTCAGAACCCGCCTGTTTTATGAAGTACCTCTTTGGAGCTGGCGTGCCCCCAGCCCGCCAGGGCACGGCGCAGCCTGGGTCGCATGCAGTGAAGCCAGAAGCCCAGCGCTGCTGCTGGCGTGGCTGGGCTAGTTACTATTCATGCTGTGAGATCAATCTCTGACCGCAGCGTGTGAGACGGGGGGTGCGGGGCTAGTGCAGGGTGCCCATTGCCCAGAGGGGAGGCTGGAGCTGAGCAGGGGCTGGGTAACATCCAGGCTGCTAATGAGATTTGTGGCTCAGAGAGGTGAGGAATCAAATCTCGTGCTGCCAGCCTCCAGGGGCACAAAGGCATCTTCTCCTCCCCACCCGTGCGTATGGCCGTGCACATCTGGCTAGGTACCTTCCTCCAAAGCATCAGAGGTTGGCACCTTCCAGGCATGGGGGTAGGTGGGCCCAGGCAAGGATTCAGGGCCCCAAGTCCTGTGCAAATAACATTCTGCTTTTCCCTAACACCCGCCCCGCGAGGGTCTCTGAGTGCTGTGGGGACATGAGTGAACGCGGCTTCGCAACCCCGCCGTGAGCTGGGAAAACAGTATCCCTGTTTTAGAGATAAGGAAACTGAGGCATGGAGCGGGGGGAAGTGACTTGGCCAAGGTCATGGGGCAAATTAGTGGCAGAGCTGGCACTAGGCGATTGGGTACTTTACAAGTTCCAAGTTAGGTTCTTTCTAGCCCGGATAGCCTGGTTCTGTGTTTTGCCTTCCTGCCTCAGTGGTGACTCGGATCCGCTCTCCCTAGAGGTCTGGAGACGTATCATGGAACAATCCCCTTCGTCTCCTGGGCAAACTTGATCAGGAGGCATAACGAAATCCAAGGGCTGGAAGTTGAAGACAGCCAAATTTAAACCTTGATTTAGACAGCTTTAATCCAGCTTCTGTGGGCAACTCCACAGCCTGTGTGTGCGGAGGGAGAGGGGTGTCAGGCTGGTTGGTCAGGGTGGTCCATTCTGACCTGGGAGTCTGTCAATCTATGAATCCCCTTGTTCATCCCCTTCCTTCCGGGAGAACAGGTCGCCCGCCTGCCTTCAACCTGCTCATCTTGACAATTGCAATTCTGCATTAACACTGTGCCTATAATCAAATCTCCATCTCCAGCCGGTCGCCTGAAGCGGGTCAGGACGGAATCGTTTTCCCCCCCGATGCACAAATGATCCAATGTATTGTCTCCCCCTGCCACCCCACCCCAGCCTCAGGGGCTTCTGAAGCATCTGAGATTAGCCCGGCTGGAGACTGCTCTGAGGTGGGACAGAGAATCCACTTATTAGATGCCGGCTGCTGTGTCTTGCTCACGTGCTCAGGGTGACGCTGGTGGCCAGATGTGGGGCTGGGAAGGGATTTCTCCCCATGGACCTTGGGGTGGATCATCTGGGCACAGCTCACTTCATCAATTCCCAGCCGTGGCACTGGTGGCACCTCAGTCTCCCCTGGTCTCTCCCGGTGGCTCGCAGGACTGAAATGCTTTGGGCTAACTAGCGTCACTGGCTCAATGCAGGGGTGTTTGGGTGATGTTTAACGGCCTGGCACGCCCAGGAGGTCAGACGAGAGGAGCCAACGCCCCCTTGGACCAGCTTGCCGAGGGTTGTGGTGACCCCCCTTCGCTGGGGATCGGCAGATCTAGGCAGGAAGATCCACTCTCGTCCAGCCAGAGCGAGGGGCCTTGGGGAATTAATTCAGGGGAGGGCTGTGGCCTGTGCTGTACAGGGAGGTCAGGCCAAATGATCACAGCGCTTCCCCTCTGGCCTGAAGCTCCATCCCAGGGGCACAGTGACGGGATCTGCCCAAGGCCAGGAGGCTTTGCTCTGTTCCCCACGTAGCAGCTTGTGCAGGATCCTGGGGGTTGGGGCGAGTAGAGGCAGGGAGAAGAACTAACCCCGCCTTGGAGCAGGTGCGTGGGTGGCCTCGTGTTCACTGTGGTCTCGCTGGGGGGGGGGGAGGGGGGTGCTCCTCGCAGGCAGCAGGGCGGACGTCTCTTGTATCCTGTTTCCTTTCTCTCCCCCTCGCTCTGCGTGCATCACCGAGCCGGCTAACCTACTGGCTGCTCTTGCCAGCTGCCGCCCTTCTGCCGTGGGGGTGACACGAGGAGAGAGGTCGGAGGTTGCTCTGACTGGCCATCCCGGTGGCTCTGATCAGATACCTCTGTGTCAGCCACCACCCTCCCCCTAGACCACGAGTGCTCTGTGCTCTCACCGTGACTCGGGGGAGAGCACGGCAGGCTGGGGCAGCGACAGCCCTGGCAGGAGGAGCGTAGGGCAGCTGGACTCTGCAGTGGTTGCCTGGGCCCTAGGAGAGCCCTGTG